TCTCCATCCGTTTCACTAGACAACGGTCCAGAAACTCGAGGCAGGAGATCCAGAGTAGCGTCTGCTTTACTGCCAAGAGTTTCTGGCCTTGTATTATCAGAATCAAAATTTTTTGTCCCAAATCATGTGGACAGACGAAAGTCTGTTCACTACAGAATGCATTTTCAACCAGCATAATTGGCATAGTTATGCTGTTGGAAATCCTCACTTGGTGAGGGAGAAAAATTTTCAGACACGGTAGAAAGTAAACGTGTGGGGAGGAATAGTGGGTGATCGGGTACTTCTGTCCCAGCTTCCGCATTATGTGAATGTGAGTATTTATTAGGCAGAGATTCGCACACATACAACATACTCCTAGGAAAATCTTCCTATTTTACATTTTTCTTCATCTCAGGGTCAACAGTATCTTGCTTTTATTCAGCAGACACTTCCGGAAATGCTGGACGAAGAACCACTCAGCACTACACCTCAGTGGTTTCAGCAGGCTGGAGCACCACCTCACTCTGCTAAAGAAGTCACCGCCTACCTGAATGAGCAGTTTCCTGGACGTTGGTTCGGTCGCTTTGGCCCGCTCCACTGGCCTGCACGGTAAGACTACTCGAGAAAAATACAGTATACCGGAAAATGAAAAATTTCCATTCCTATTAGATCCCCTGATTTGACTCCGCTAGACTTCTTCCTTTGGGGCCATCTGAAGGAAAAAGTCTACGAGACAGAAGCAGAGAACGTGAAGGACTTGGTGGCACGACTGCATGCAGCCGCAATCAATGTGGATGCGGAAATGCTCCAGCATGTGAGGATGGGAGTTCTCAGGAGAATTCATGATTGTGTGGCTGCTGGAGGTCATTTTCAGCAACTGCCATGAAGAGCTCGATGAAGAGCTTTACAATCGGCTCTTTTCAGGCCCACCAAAAATTAAATATGGCACAACGAAAGTCTTTTGCACTAGAAAATGAATAGCAAAAAGATTTCTTTCCTTCTTTTTTTGTTGAAAGATCTGCCTACTCATGCTATCATCATCCTCCACATGCATCTTATGGGTGATACGAAACGCAGCCAAAAACAAACGTCAATTATAAAAATGATTCGAATCGACATTTTTGGAAAGTTTCTTTTCATGTCATTTCTTAGACCTGTTATCCAGCTGATAGATGAGAGAGACGACATGTGCTCATCTTCATTCATTCCCTTGACGTCCGAAGTAATTGTGAAAGAGGGAAAAACATTAGATTTTATTAGGGATATTTTAGACTCCCTCCCACCCTTCCATCACAAAATCCGAGATCCCCCCCCCCACGTTCTGTGGATTTTTTAGTTTTTCTTTTTTTCATGAAATGAAATTTCAACAAGAATGAAAAAAAATCCTGAGAAAACGTGAGAAATGAATTATTTATTTCATACTCATGTTATTGTTAAATCACCGAGGGTTGCCGGGTTTGTGACTCGCTCGGGTTTCTTGATACATACAAACATATCGATACAGTGTACTCTTTCGAACGCAAGTGCCCAGTACCGATACTTGAATGTAACGATGGAGTATGTATCGATACACGAAATATGGATATTTTTCAAACGCACCAATACATTTGCTCCAGTGTTTTGCTTTTTATAACAAATTGGTGTTCATAACAAATCTCGCGAGGGTCAAACATCACGAGGATCGCAAGGGTAACACGAGGATGGTCAAATTTCATGAGGGTCAAGAGGGTAACAAGGGGATGGTCAAACTTCACTAGGGCCACGAAGGTCACAAGGGGATCGTCAAACGTCACAAGGGTTGAACTCCACGAGGATCACAAGGGGGTCATCAAATTTCACGGAGGTCTAACATCACGAGGGTCACGAAGGTTACAAGGAAATGGTCAAACATCACAAGGGTCAGGCGATTCACAAGAGTCTCACATTCAACCCTCGTGATATTTAATCATTGCTTGGGCTCCGTAAGAATTCTCACTTATTTTTTATAAAACAATAAAATTTCATCGAATTTTCTAGAAAACCCGAGGATTTTCCTCATGACGGTCAACCCTCGTGTTATTTAATCCTCGCGAAATTTGACCATTTCCTTGTGATCCTCATAAAATTTGATCATCTCCTGTGACCCTTGGGACCCTCGTGACATTTGACCCTCCTCTTGTGACCCACGTGATGTTAGACCCCCGACCTTCCTTGTAAACCTCCTGAGATTTGACCATCTCCTTGTAACCCTCGTGGAGTTTAACCATCCTTTCGGGACCCTCAGGATGTTTGAGCCTCGTAAAATTTAACTATTCCTCGTGATGTTCGATCATCACCATGTAACCCTTGTGACCCTCGTCATGTTTGACTCTAGTGACATTTGACCATCCCCTGTGATCTTCGTGGAGTACAACCCTTGTGATGTTTGACCATCCCCTTGTTACCTTCATGACCCTCGTAATGTTTGACCCCCGTGAAATTTGATGACCCTCTTGTGATCCTCGTGACCTTCGTGGAGTTCAAGCCTTGTGACGTTTGACGATCTCCTTGTAACCCTCGTGATCCTAGTGACCCTAGTGAAGTTTGACCATCCCCTTCTTACCCTCGTAAAATTTCACCATTCCCTTGTGACCCACATGAAATTTTACCATCTCCTTGTAACCCTCGTGAAATTGAACCATCCTCTCGGGACCCTCGTCAAGTTTGACCCTCGTAAAATTCAACCATTCCTTTGTGACCCTCGTGAAATTAGACCATCCTCTTGTGACCCTCGTGAAGTTCAACCATCCCCTCGTGACTCTCGTGATGTTTGATCCTCGAAAAAATTCGATTATCCCCGTGTAATTCTCCTGACCCTCATAACGTTCGACCCTTGTAAAATTTGACCATTCTCTTTTTACCCTCGTCAAATTCGATCATCTCCTTGTGACATTTGTGACCCTCGTGACGTTCGACCTTCGTGAAATTGGACCATCCCGTTGTGACTCTCGTGATGTTTGACCCTCATAAAATTTGACCATCCTCTTGTGACCTTCGTGATGTTTGACTCTTCTGAAAATTCACCATCGCCTTTTAACGCTCGAGACTCTCCTGACGGTCAGCTCTCGTGAAATTCGATCTTCCGCTTATGACCCTCTCCTTGAAAAAAAATCGATACAATACTGGTCAAATAGTATCGATACACCCAATGCATCGATAGATAAGTATCGATACAAAATATTAGGTATTACGCATAAAAATATCGATATTGGGAGTATCGATATCTGGCGATAGTTCAGAGTTTTTTCTTTTTTTTTCAGAGGAATAAGACAAAAATCGCATTTGTGATTTCCTAATTAAAAAGAAGGGAAGATGTTGGTGTGACATCATAACCCAGACGAGCACCCCGCCCCCCTTCGTCCCAAATGTCACAAAATACTGACCCCCCCCCCCCCCCCCCCCC